TGCGGGGGGGGGGGGGGAGGGCTGAAATCACATATCCCAGCTGATATAGCTATTTCAGCAAAACCCGCACTGTAGTCACAAGTTCCAACTATGCTGATAGAGGAGAATGTACCTTCTCTATTTTCAGTGATTAAACTGGGATGAGTCCTACCCTCAGAAGAGTGTGAGGCTCAGGCGACTGGTGTTGCAATCACATATCCCAGCTGATATAGCTATTTCAGCAAAACCCGCACTGTAGTCACAAGTTCCAACTATGCTGATAGAGGAGAATGTACCTTCTCTATTTTCAGTGATTAAACTGGGATGAGTCCTACCCTCAGAAGAGTGTGAGGCTCAGGCGACTGGTGTTGCCCACGGCAGCATCCCTGCCGCTCCTGTTCCACAGGGCTGGGTGGGTTTGGCTCCCCACTCTAGGCATTGTGACCCAGCCCCTGATGTCATGGCCCCATTCAGGTTTGGGCCAGCCATATAGAATCATAGGGCTGGAAGAGACCTCGGGAGGTCATCAAGTCCAGCCCTCTGCCCAAAGTAGGACCAATCCCAACTAAATCATCCCAGCCAGGGCTTTATCAAGCCAGGACTTAAAAACCTCTAGAGATGGAGATTACACCACCTCCCTAGGTAACCTATTCCAGTACTTCAACACCCTCCTAGTGAAATAGTTTTTCCTAATATCCAACCTAGACCTCCCCCACTGGGTGGCACCACAGAGAGCGCTTCCCCCACAGCACCAGCTCCTGTTTCCCACCTCCTTACTGCCTCGGATATAGAAGCAGCAAGGGGGTGGGGGAGAGAGTAGTGGAGTATTCAATTACTCACATCCCTAGTGCCTATGATTCAAGCCTGTACTTGCACTAGAAGTGCACAGTGTGAAACACCAATGAATCTTAGCTTAAGAACCACTTGAGTTGTAATGCTTCTCAGAATCTGACTATTTTGGAGTATCTGCAGAGAATTACAACTAAGATGTCATCAGCACTTAGAAAGCATTCTGATAGGCACCTTAGTATTACCTGATATGAGATAAGGAGAGAGAAAAAGATACTGTGCATTTAGGTTTTCTCTTGGACTTATGAAAAGCAGCATCTTTTGTCTTGCAGCAACAGCAAGTGTTCCCAGGCTAGAAAGCAATGAGATTTTTTCCAAGCCTTTTGGCAAGTATAGGTACAAACTGGGACAGAACATCAGTGAAGAGGCACCTTGACTGTTTATTAACTTGACTGGGACCAGGACTCTAATCTGCATCTCATAGTGGATTTAGGGAAAAAAAATCTTTTGTAAGTGCATTTAGAAAAGCTAAACGTTGATATTTCAACCAACACGCCTTAGCTCTCATCTACAGGGACCTTCTGTACTCAATCTCTGGCTCCTCTGCTGAATCTGCCAACAGGAATACCTGTAAGGCTTCAGTGATGTGCACCTTTGTAACTCTATTGAAAACATCAATTCAAAATTCTTTTTATGAGCATCAGACGACACATTCACCAGTTTGTAACAACCATCAGTTTTTGCAACCAACCCGTGTATGACTGGTAATCAGATATTGAGAGATCATCCTTAGACTATTTTAAAGTTTAGAGCCCCAAGAAAGCTAATCTGCTTATCCCAACATTTAATATCCTAAAATTCTAAAAGATTCCCATTGGGATGAACAAATCAGCATCTGGCATGCCTAGGATCTTTCCTGACTGTCAGAAGAATTTTTCCAGCATCTGACCAAGGTGGAAAAATTCAGTAGTGCCTCAGCCCAAATCCTAAACACATCAGCACAAGCACTTTTCTAACAGCAGGGCCACTAGCAGCGGGAATTAAGCGGGCCGCCATAGTTTGGTCCAACCAGAGGGCCCCTTGGCAGCAGAAATAAAGCGGGCCGCCATAGTTTGGACTTTGCTACCAAGTCTACTTGCCCTTCTGCTGATAATACATTGGTTGGCCCTTGTTACAGCATATCGAAACTGAACTTCTTCCACTTCCTAGCTTGACCTTAGCAGGAGAATTTGCTTTGCCTCGCAGTGAACAACACAAACGCACGAGCTGAATTCCCCGGCTGAAGTCTAAGGGCTGCACCACTTCCTTATACTGAGGACCGCAACTCCCAGTCTCTCGGGCTTGGGTTTCCCTGCATGTTTCGGTTCCATATACTGGAGGGGCTGCGCTATTGCTGCGAGCGCAAAGGGAGCGAGGACTTTAAAGTGCTGGAGGAGGCGGAGCTGGAAATACCAAGGGGGAAAAATGAAAGCAAAAGTAAAACCCCTTCGTCTCCCCACGGGGCGCTCCGTCCTCCCACAGCGGGGGGCTTCACCTACCCACAGGCACGCACCGATCCCCCAGGAGCCCCATCTCCGCCTCCCCACGGGCGCCCGCCCCACCAAGCGCCCTTAAACTGCGACTCAAAGCGCAGAGGGACAGCTCAGCCCCTCGCAGCGTCTCTTCCCCTCGCAGCTCCCCGGGCTGGGCGTCTCCCCACGGGGCGCTCCGTCCTCCCACAGCGGGGGGCTTCACCTACCCACAGGCACGCACCGATCCCCCAGGAGCCCCATCTCCGCCTCCCCACGGGCGCCCGCCCCACCAAGCGCCCTTAAACTGCGACTCAAAGCGCAGAGGGACAGCTCAGCCCCTCGCAGCGTCTCTTCCCCTCGCAGCTCCCCGGGCTGGGCTGAGGGGCCCGTGGCCGGGGACCCGGGTGAAGGGGGCGCCCGGACGCAGGTAAAGTTCAAAGCCCAGCGGGGCGTTACCTGCGGGGGCCCGGCGCGCCACGCAGCAGGCCGCCAGCAGAGCCACGCAGCAGGGGGGCAGCCCAGGCCC